TGCACAAATTTTCTGAAAGGTGATTTCAAGGGGAAGAGATGAGGTGGGACCTCAGTGAACTCAGTGGCAGAGCTGAAACTTAAAAGGGCAAAGGAGCACTGTACCCACCTGCCCTTACTATCCTTAACTCCTACTTACTATCCTTAACTCCTGCTGGGAGGACAGACTGATTATTTCAGGCACTGCCTTCCTGTTCAGTAACTTCAGGTTACAAAAAAGAATGTTTAAAAATTAGGAATACTATGCATCTCTCTATCCCACAAATTAACTGCTCTTTGCATGTCCTATAATTACTTCCCTAAGTGGTTGCTAGCCAGCACCTGAAGATATTTTCTTTGAAAGCTTGTGTCATACCTTTCTGTGGGTTCATTTGAAGCAAAGAAATGATTAATCAATGACCAGAAAACTTGCAGAGGGAATGTTATCCATTCTGAAACAACAGCTCTATAAAAGAGAACCCATAAAACAGTGAGACAGTTTAGCTGGCTGCTGATCTGGTTTTAGCAGGCAGACAACCAGTTTTGGCATGGTCCTTGCAGAAGCCCAAGAAGAGTTTCTTTCCCTCAGAGAACATGTCCATTCTGACTGAGTTTTAGTGTTCCCTTTCTCCTTCCATCTGGATGGTTCTTCCCAGCTGAGCTAGACGGTTTCAGTGCTTGCTCTCAGGTAAAAGTTAAATATGACTCATGAAAAAAAGTTACAAGAGTGGATATTATTACATTTTTCAAAATAAAAACTGTTTTAGAGTCCTGAGGATCCAACACCTGACGGCATAATTTTTACTTGTCTCTCTCCCAAAAGCCATATTTAAGGTAGCAGTCCTTGAAAGTGCAAGTGCCTTTCTGAAATCCTGTGGACTTCTTCAGGAATTTTGGTCAATCCGTTGCTTTGGTTTTGTCTCTTTTCTAAGATTTGTGAAATGGACATAACTTCACTCACTTTTAAAAGTTGAGGTTTTTTTAGACTCTGTAAAAGTGAACAGAATTCAGTGCCAAGTATTACTTTTCTTTGTTAATATTAATGTCTGATACCAGTAGGCCATTCTCGTTAAACAAACTGCTTGAAGATTTCTACTCCCCTTTGCTTCTATGTACAAGCACAAGTGCCCTGATCATTCTTGCTATCACATTGTAAGAAACTAAAATTTTCATGAAAACTCTCTTCAAATTAATTAAAATAGCTAATGCAAAAGTTATGTGACCTGTTACTCTAGTGTCACTATTAAATGTCATTAGTATCACTGCTATTCATGGAGGCATGATGCAATGCAAAAAACCAATTTTATCCATGTTCCAACCCAATCCTACTATAGATATGTTTCTGCAGTCTTTTTGTCTCTATGAGATCAGATTTTCACTGCCACCCATTCAAAAAATTAGCAGCAGTCTTCTTGTGCAGCTATGCAAATCATACTTCTTTTTCTCCTGACTAAAATATTGTTTGATTTTCTGAGATATTACATTATTAATGATGATGAAGACATGACAAAAATAATGACTATATAGTCTGCTATCAAAAAGACATTGATATCGGAACAGAAACAGAACAAGCCATCATTTCTTTATAATTTCTTTCAAGGAGATGTTCAACAACATTCCCACTATAAAGACTTAAAAGAAAACTTCCAGGCTTCTGCTGGTGCACAATAGAAGAAGCTGCCATTGCTCAGATATTTTGCCTTTTCAATAGTGTCTCTTCTAGTAAAATATGATAGATATTTTATATAACAAGGGAATGACAAGTAGAGAAAACCCCACCACAACAACGATCTAACTAAAGACAAGCAAAGCATACAAATTAAAAGTATGAGATAAAAATGGAGCAGAAATAAAATCCTTCAGACTGATGCTTTCATTTAACACATTTTTGCATGTTCTGTGACCTAGCTTTACATATAGTTAGTAAATAATCCATGTATTCTTGATGTCTTTCACCTTTATTTTTTATCTCTTCAAAAATGCTGACTTTGTTGGGATGCTGAAAATAGTACTTGATCTAAGTGACTGTGAAATTAATTTTTCATTAAGAGATGAGTATTTCGTATTTTCTTTTTAATAACTTGATAAATTGCACTTGATAAGTGCATTCTGTACCTTGTGTCAGAATTTATTTTTATTATAGGTAACCTGTTATCTGAAATTTATAATGGTATATTTCATGTTACGAAACCTATGTTTCACGTTATGTACTGGGTAGTCTTCGTTTCCAACAAAAAGTTAAATATTCGCAACATTCAGAGAAGGGATATTGGCTTTGACCTACTGTCCAGTGAAGGCTGAGAGAATTAAAAATGCTGAGAAGCATTCAGGCTTTATGCAATAAAGCACTTTGTCATAACATGCAAGCGGAGAAAAAGTGCATTTTGCAAATTTTGTCTAAAATATTCTGATCAATAGGACCAAATTAATCTCTAGCAATAGGAAAGTGTTTGGGGGCATGCCAGTAATTAGGATGCAAGAAAGGGGATGGACTGGCTCAACAAAGGTTTGCAGTTTTATACACATGGTTATGTAAGAGACCATGGTTATATGACACACCAATGAGATTTCTTTTTTCAAGGTGGCCTATTTGAAATTGCTTTGAAATTTGAAAAGTTTTTTGCATGACAAAATGTACGGTTACAGGTATAATAAAAAGAATTCAGAATAAGAAGGGGAAACTCACAAAATAAAAAGTTCTTTTGCAATACTTTGACTGAAAAAGGCAATGGAGCAATTTTTGACTAAAAAAGCCAATGTATCAAAAGCCCTTTGATAGATACAGGAAATGGAAGTAGCAGAAGGCTTTTTACTTCTTTACATGAAATTAAGATGTCAGGCTTGAAGTCCCTCAGGGATTTTTGAGCCCTTATTTTTAAAAAAATATGTACTGAAAAACTGGAGGAAATCAGAGGGGTCATTATATATTAGTCAAAGAATAAAGAAAAAGCCTTATATAGATTTAAAGACCTTCAAGTGCTTGGCTAACAGTTGGAAAATAAGTGTGGTGGGGTAATGAAATCTGGCCACCATTGTTTTTCATTGCCTCAGGCTTGATGAGCACTTAACATGTAAATCACCCTCTTTCTGTACAACTTGTTATTAATATTGTTGCTGTTATTTTCTTCTCTCATTGCTGTTCCCAGCAAATTGCTCCTGTGATCTTTGACTTTAGAATTTCCTGCTACGAGGAGTGGAGGTGAGTGCCAGTGAGAGCACTATATTGGGACTTACCATTCTCAAACCACAGTCTTACATTTCAGTCATGATACTAAACATTAATTATCAGGTTACACCTAGATAAAGTCGTGTGTTTTGTATCTGCCCAAGCCCAGGTGCCCTGTAGAAACAGCACAGTTGACATGGGCTGCATGAAAGTCACAGTACAAGTTATTCTTCTAGGGTAGGTTAATGTCATACATGCATCATACATACCTTGGTTGTCTACCTATATACAGCCTGAAAAGGGAGCAACAGAAAAATGTAACATCTGTCAAGTAAGTGTAGGTGAATAACCTAGTTATTAGTAGAAACAGTCAGCATTAGAAGGAGTGCACATTTTAATGAATCAGAACAGAAGACAGACTGAATGGGACCAGGCATATAACAAAGCATTTGGTGTGGTCTGATGTTTCTCCCTTCCAAAAGGAGCTGTGGAAGGTGCCACAAATAGAAGCGTAGAATCACAGGATACCTCAAATTGGAAGGAACTGATAAAGATCATCAAATCTGACACCCTGCTCCTTGTAGAACTACCTTAAACTAGATCATGTGACGAGGAACATCATCCAGATGCTCATTGAAGACATTTTGACAAGGCTGGTGCCACAACTGCTTCCCTGAGGAAGTGGACCAACATCCTTATCAGTGAACCTTTCCCTAAAATTAATTTTGAACTTCCTCTGATGCATTCCTCTGATGAACTTCTTCATAAAAGGAGATAAGTGGTGAACTTAGACCCCTCCCCTACTTCCCCCCTCCACCCCTTCTCCTTAGGAAGATGCAAACTGCCATGGGGTCATCTCTCAGTTTCTCTTTGTCAAGCTAAACAAAACAAATGGCCTAGCCACTCCCCATAAGTCTTGCCCTTGAGACGTCTCAGCATCGTGGTTGTCCACCTTCAGCAAACATTTCAACATTTTGACTGTTTTGAATTGCTTTAATTTTGTTCCTTATGGCAATTGTTTTAGTCCTAGGGCAGTGCAGAATCTATGCATGGCTTTAACCAATAGAAGTAGAGTTGTTGTGAATATAAGTGGAACAGAATTATTTCTGTTGTTAGGAGTATTTTGGTAATAGCAAAAATGCATTCATGCAACAGGACTCTGGGTCTGATTTGAACAGTCTTGTGATGAACCCATTTGAAAAGGCCTCCAAACAAACAAAAACCCTTTAGCAACAGCAGTGATAAGCCAAGAAAATACCACAGACAGCTAAGTTTTGTATAGCATATGTGAGATAAGGATAGAGATAGATATAGGCATTAACTTTCCTATGCAGCTCTGCTTGCACATAGGAAATTAAGCTTACAGTTCCAATGCACATGATTTCCTCTTTAAATTGTTTCAAATTCATTTGTCCATGTTTCCCCTTACTAGCTCTGTGAACCACAGTGCTACAAATTGAAAAGTCTGAGTGTAGCAGAGAAGCTGATTTATATCTTCTCTTGCTGCTGTCTCACTGCATCACTTGAACAAATATGTGTCTTGCAGAAAAAGAAGACCACTCATCCCTAAAGATTGGTAGCTTAAGCTCAGAGATTCAGAAAAAAAAATTAGTTGCAACGCACACTCATATCTGGTCAGACACAAACTGCTTAGCTTGTGAAGCTTTGCCATCATTGATTTGCAGTGTGACTACACACTGTAGATGGAGCATTAGGTCATAATAGTTTATTTATACTTATTTCTCATTTGATTTTTTCTAATTTAAACAGACAGAAGGCAGAGCATTGCAATTTTTCTGTCTGATGCGCCAGTGTTGTATTCATATTGTTGTTATCATATTTCTAGAGTTCCATACCTTCTGGGTGGTTTTCTCATATGCAACTCTTCACAGTAGTGTTATTCCTGCTTCATCAGGGATCCTCCAAGGCTCTCCCTGGCTGCCCAACCCACCCTCTTTTATCCCAGCTACCTCCATGGGCTACAGCTGCTGCCCAATTAAGGACATCACAGCTGCAGCCAATTTACAATAACTAGAATTGGGGCAGGGTCACTAATACAATACAGAGATCTTTCACTGCAATACATATATTTACTCAGGCCCCTGTACACCACTGTATAACCACAGGTACATCTACCAGAGTACTGGAAAATTTACTACTCCTTGCCCTTCCTTCCTTCCTTCCTTCCTTCCTTCCTTCCTTCCTTCCTTCCTTCCTTCCTTCCTTCCTTCCTTCCTTC